ACTCATTTCCGAACCACCGCTCACTAACTTGAGGCATTAGTACGAGTTATTGGCAGAAGGCGGAGACCCTCACACCGTTCGAAGATGACTGCCAGTGTCCCACACCTCAGAGCCCGACGAGGTCCCAGTCGAGACTCATATCCATGATGACAGTCCCATTAGAGGAAGCAATTTCAGCAGATAGTCGTAAAGTAAAGAACTCTGGGTCACACCGATCGCATATCTCAGTCGACGAGGCGATCTGTCGGCACAAGTCGCTGAACATAAGAAAACATGACCGTATGGTAATGGCAGCGTGTTCTCGATCAAGCTCTCCTCTGTAAATGAGAAGTTACAGATGAGCAGTGGCCAGACCACGAGACCATATGAACAGATCCGATCTGGAAAGGAAACTCGGATGGCTCGATGGCAGAAGAAGCATTTGTGTGATGCATGTGTTAAATCAGGGTGCACGGGCCATGCACTGGCATGTGTTTTTCACCGTCCACCAGCACTTCGCTTCTTCATCGCAAGATAAGAGAAGCCATGAAAGCTCGGCAGAGAAAGATCGATGGAAGAAGCCAGCCACAGAAATACAGGCCCCTCTGTAATCCTCGCCTTCATTCGGATGGTTTTTGTGCCTAGAATTAGCATTGATTAGGTATCGCACGCACGGCAAAGTGAGCCCGGAATTGCCGGTTTCTGAGTCTGTCACACGGTCAACTCAAGTGCTCGCAGCCGAGACGTCAAGGACGACTTGAGGGAAGCCTAGCAGCCACAACAACACTGGTGATCAGCGATCGTCGTCGATCAATCGGAAGCATTTGGAGGTCGTGTGCGGCTTTATCTATCTCTGCGGGAGTCTTCTAGAGCTCCCCCTCGTGGTCAGAGAAGCTCGTCGAAGGGTGGGGGGCAGCACATGCGTACAATCTAGTCGACTCGTGGTTCGGGGAGGGTAATAGGGCACAGGACACAGGACAAAGGGCAGTCCGAATGGAATGCGATAGACATAAAGTAGGGAGGATCGACCGACAAGTGGACGACGTTTCGCGTGCGTGGAAGACATGTAATCTCTGATATCCCGATAAGCACAGTGATCATAAGTGTATCACAGCCGCGCATCCGCATTCAAGGCAGCAAACAACCACCGACCCAGCACATCATCCACCATGAAGCTCACGACCGCCGCGCTGACGGCGCTGCTGAGCGCGCTCTGCGCCCACGCGGCGCCGACGACGTACCTGCTCGGCCTGGCATCGCGGACGTGACGGGGCCCGTCGTGAGACGAACATGATGGCTACGCGTCGCTCGCGCAGACGGACACGGGGCTGCACCAGCGGCAGCGCGCGCGCGCGTGGATCGTCGGCGAGTCCGCCGCGGACACCGCGGCGTCGCGCGTCGTGTTCGTCAACGCGGACATCGCCATGGGCGACACGGCATCCGGCGCGCAATCCTCGCGGAGCTGCAGACGCGCTATGGCGGGCTCTACACGGCGCAGAACGTCGCGATCTCGAGCACGCACCAGCACTCCGGCGTCGGCGGGTACCTCGAGAACCTCCTCCCGCAGCTGACCGCGCTTGGGTTCGTGAAGCAGAGCTACGACGCGATCGTCGCGGGCGTCGTCCTGGCCATCGTGCGCGCGCACGACTCGCTGGCGCCGGGGACGCTGGGCTTGGGTAACACGACGGTCGTCGGTGGGAACATCAATCGCAGCCCCACTGCGTATCTGGCGAATCCGGCGGCGGAACGGGCGCAGTACGTGGCACAAGGCGGGGACCAGGACAAGTTCATGAGCTTGCTGAACTTTGGGAGCCGTGGGTTCATCAGCTGGTTCCCCGTGCATGGGACGAGCATCTACGAGGTGCGGGTCCATTGTGCACATCAACCGTGTTCAAGCTGACAACCGGACTCAGAACAACACGCTAGTGAGCACGGACAACAAGGGAATGGCGGCATATCTGTATGAATGTGCGTCCTCCGATTTGCTATGTTTCTGCAGCCGTCACTAACGAAAACACAGCGCGGATCAACCCGACCGCGATGCCAGGAAACCAGTCCTTCATTGCAGGCTTCGCACAGGCGAACGTCGGGGACACCTCGCCCAACATCCTCGGCGCGTTCTGCGAGTCGCCCGGGCAGCCCTACGACGGAATGCCGTGCCAGGCGAACAGCTCCACGTGCGGGGGACGGTCCAGGACTGCCACGGCCGCGGGCCGGGATTCCGCCTCGACTCGTACGGGTTCGCCTCGAACACGATGATCGCGCAGGTCCAGGCGGACGCGGCCCAGCGCATTGTGGTGGGGCGATGGGCGCGGTGGCTGGAAGCGTGAGAAGCGTGCACGTGTACCTGAACATGCAAGTCGCACGTGCTGAATTCGTTGTTGTTTCTGGTTGCTGACCGTTTGTGCTCCAGGGCGAATCATACGTTCACGCTGCCGAACGGAACAGTCGCGCAGACGTGTCCCCCTGCGATGGGTGAGCCGATGATTGTGTCCCTCGAGTGCATGCATCTCATTCGATTTCTAGGCTTCTCGTTTGCGGGTGGAACAACGTCAGTGTGGTTTCTCCCATGCGTTTCATTATTGACTGTTTCGCAGCGACGGGCCCGGCGCATTCGACTTTGTTCAAGGCGACAATTCGACCTCCCAGAATCCGCTCTGGAACATCGTCAAGTCCGCGGTGACACCCGTCCCCAGCGCAGCGCAGACCGCGTGCCAGTACCCGAAGCCGATTCTCTTGAACACTGTGCGTTTTCGTTGATTCTTGATTGAATTTACGGTCATCTGAGACCAATGACAGGGATATGCTACGTTCCCGTATGCTTGGTCTCCGAGCACGGTTGACATCCAGATGCTCAAGATCGGCAACGTCGTCATTGCGTTGATTCCGGGCGAGCTGACTACCATGGCTGGTCGCCGGCTGCGGTCAGTTGCCACTCCCTCTTCTCATGACTGCAACCAAGCTGATTTTTGTAACACACACACACACACAGTGCCGCCATCCGGGCCCAATTGATCGCGTCTGGGATCGTCGGCAACGACGCATACGTCATCATCTCCGGGCCCGCGAACACCTACGCGCACTACATCACCACGCCCGAGGAGTACACCGTGCAGCGCTACGAAGGCGCGTCAACCATCTACGGCCCCAGTGCGTCGCCCCATTTCCCGTCTTCGCTCTCTCCCGTTGATCAGTAGCGTCGCCTAGACACGCTCCCCGCCTACATCGACAAATACACGTCCCTCGTCCCGTGGCTGGCCAGCACGCCCCCCGCGGCCGCGCCCGCCTCCGACGCCGCGCCGCCGGCGCTGCAGTCCGTCGCGCTTTCGCTGCAGACGGGCGTCGCGTTCGACGGGACGCCCGGCGGGCAGTCGTTCGGGAGCGTGCAGACGGACGTCGCGGGCCGTACGCGGCGGGGCAGACGCCCTACGCGGTGTTCACCGGCGCGAACCCCCGGGTGCGTGTTTTGCCCAGCTTTCCTGATTCGACTCCTCTCAAAACTGAAAAACTGCCGACAGAACAACCTACGTCTGGAGCAGACGTTTTTGTATGTCGACCATCTTGCGGCGAACGGCTCGTGGACGCCTGTGCGGTCTGATTCGCATCCGTCGACGATCTATCGCTGGGCGCGGGTCAATGGGTTGACTGGGACCAGCACTGTCAACATCTCGTGGACGGTTGAATCTGGCACCCCGGGTAAGTACATATGTTTGTGTTCTCAGTCCGTCCTCAAATTTCCACAGCTGGCTCGTACCGGTTCCGCTATTTTGGTGATTCAAAGGCGCTGGGAGGTACGATCACCCCGTTCGTTGGCACTAGTGGCACTTTTACTGTTGTGTGAACCCACTTTGTACGGATACTTTCAATGGGGACGGATCCGAGGTTCACGATACATACATATTACATTAGGTCGAAGACAGCGAAAGAAAGCGTTGGAGAAGCTCAATGCTATTCAATGAACGGAACGATACATGCATGCAATTACAAATTCAAAATGCGTTCACAAAAAGAAGCCGATCACGGCTCGTCCATGCCCACGAAACTGCCCATCCCGCTCGCCAGCGTAGCCGCATAACCAGCATCGTCCCCGGCACCTCGCTGGGCACCCACCTCCGGATCCGTATCGAGCAGCACCTTCACCGCCTCGCCCGTCTGGTGCGCCGCGATCGACGAGAGGCTCGCGGGCGGGACGTACGCGCGCACGGCCCCGGCGATGGCGGACGCGAGGTCGGCGGAGGGCATGCCCAGTGCGTCTGCGAGCGCGGAGATGCGGTCTTCCACGGTTTCCGACGACGGCGTGGACTTGGATTTCGAGTTGGGACGCGGGTCGGAGTGCGCGGTCGGCGGGCGGACGCCCATCGCGAGGTTCCACCTGCGCGACGTGGATGGGTGAGTAATGTCTTGTCACGGTGACGACTGGAAGAGAGAGACGCACCATCCTCCGACGTCCGTCTTCCACTGCACCACCCGGTACGTGTAGTACGCCGACATGGCTGTCGAGAGCAGGATGAGCAGGTATATCAGCCGATTCAGGCGCGTCGACGCTAGCGGCTTCTTCACGTCCGTCCGCAGCAGCGGCTCTTTTCGCGTCGGCAGATCAGCGTTGCCTTCGGTGTTGCGCGACGGCGTGTTCATGATGTGGAGGTGTGTGTCTGGGATGAAGGAGTGAGGTGAGCGGTTACGTTTTCAGGAGCGCGTTTTGTGAGACTGCCGTCGTGGTGTGTGCTACGTCATCGGTGATGATCCTGATGCTTGTGTCGCGATATCACGTGTATATCCTTCCCACGTGAGTGATGCTCCAGCGCATGACGAGATTATGTTCGCTGATTAGGGCCGTTTTTATTGACTGAGTATTGTTTGAACTCATCTGCACAGTTGACTGTGCTGTAAGCAGCTGGATCTCGTGGATTGCGAAGTCTCTTCCTTCTTAGAACTTTATACTTCAACGGTCGGCCGCTGCGCCTAGGAATCATACACCAGACGTACTTCGCTCCAGGTTGACAGCGTCATGCCCGAGAATCACTCGATCTGTCGACTATTGGGTGAACAGGGGCTACGAGAAACCCTCAATGCTCTGCCATCTTGAGCACTTCCACTGGCGTATCCGATGCTGGGGACCAGACGGCAGACTTCGCTCCCAATAGCTCACAGACCAACAAGTAAGGGCTATATTCATGATTCATCTGACTCGTGACTATATCTATGAATTCAGCACTCAGGTAGAGCCTGGACAGAAGCGATTAGCAGTCGGCTCGGTCCCGAGAAGGCCACCCTCACCCGAAGGCGTAATGAGCTGGAAGACCTGTTCCTTGGGTACCTTGCTTCCCTTCCGCGGCTCGACCGTCAACTGGGCAACCCGTCCGGGCTCGGAGCTCAGTTACAGAAATGAAACGGAGGAGGATCCGTACCTTGCCGCTCCGCGAAGACGACATCGCCCACTTCCCAGTAGGCTTGTCGACGAACCTACGTAGTCGCGAGAATTAGCTCCCGGGCTGTGCCTTCGAGAATCTCGGGCACAACGCACTGATACCCCTTTCGCGGCGTTGCGACGGGCGTGACGTCCCAGAAGGTGTGTTCGTACAGGCCCCTGGCGCCGACGATATCGGGCGCGGCGTGCGTGTGACCCGCCTCATGCCCAGGGATATACCACAGAACGGAGTAGTTGGACGACGGCGCGGCACTCGTCACTTCGTATTCGTTCTCGTCTCCGTGCATGGCGTACAAAAACAGCCACTGGAAGCCTATCAGCCTTCGCGCTTGCATCCACCGGGCAGGACGAGAGAAGGGTACTGGGATTTCGCACGTTTTGATCGATGCTGCTCGAGTTGGCCGCGGTGACGATGCGGGTCAGGTTCGTCGCCGTGCCGCGGGGCAGCTCGAGCATCCGCCCTTTGTAATCAGCGATTTTTCGGGTGGTGGGTGCGCTGGTAACCACACCGGCCAGGATCCCGGCGAGAGCAAAGGATGTGGAGATGAAGTGCATGCCGGGCAGAGGTGTAGTGGGCTCGGCGCAATCTACGGGCCTCTTCCTGGTTAAGAGCCACCTCTAAGCATTCCAGAAGACAGCCAAGCTTCAGAAGCACTGAGCCAGGGGAAATTTAGTTCTTTTTCCTTGGGCAATGCTTCACATAGCACATCAAAGGGTATTCAGGCTTTCGCGCCACACACGGTCAGTGAAACGCTGAATATGCCGGCTTCGTGATACCGGCAAGACATCTAAGATCTAGAGCAGGGAGAACGAAACCATGTCCGAAACTGGGTCGATGCACGTGACGTGGCCTACATCCCGCGTCAGGATTCCGGAACGGAGAAAATGTAGGTCTCCAAATGCAGTCACAGGGCGTAAAGACCATCCATTGAGATAGTGAAATTGAGGGCTAGGCAACATGAAGCGTGAGTTGAACGAGATGCAGAACCGGACGAGGCAATAGAAGAGCCGCAGCAGTGTGTCGATCAAAAACTCTCAGACGGGGAGTCGAACCCCGGTCGCCCGCGTCACAATACGTTGACAGGCGGGAATCTTCACCGTTGGACCATCTGAGATGCATGCAGGGGGTTTTTCAAGGAATACATCTATCAGGCTTGATCTTCGACGACCGCTTTTAAGAATACTGACCTCGATTTTGATGATGAACATCTCAACAGTAGGGCTTTGATAACCGCCCTTTTGATAACCACCCTCTTGTCTCGCTTGAGTCTTAGTCGCTCGAGAATAAGTCTTGCGGAACTGTCTCCTGTACATGAGGCTCTTTCTGTCCATATCGCATGTTACCAACAATCCCTTTTTGGAAGGCTCAGGGGATCCATCCTGCAGATTGTAGTGTGACAAAACTATTGCATCTGACGTCACTCCTGCGAGAGCGTATTTGACATAATCGAACTCACCTTCTCTCGCAAGCGCACTCATGCATTCCAAGCTTCCCCCAGAGCTCGAATGCTACATCTTCGAAATCTTCTCTGCTGCTGAGCCCCAATCCACACTAATCCTCCTACGTGTTGCCCGGCGCGTCAAATACTGGTCAGTATGAGCCATCCAACCAGTCTCGGTCGCTTGATAAGCTGGGTAGGCTCGAGCCGTTGCTCTACCGCACGATCCTGCGATCTCCAGAAACCACCAGCAAATTCACCGACCGCGTCCTGTCCGATCTGCTCGTGTCGAAGCCGCAACACTGCCGCGATGCCGTGCGGAACGTGATGTTCTACCACATGTCGGATGCAGCGACGCTGGGCATCGTGCAGCGCTGCCGCAGCATGCAGAATGCGTGGATGCACGGCCCGATCGGTTCGAAAGGCGTGTTTGCGGGTCTAGCCGCGCTGCCCCGTCTCGAGCGGCTGCACTGCGACGCCTCGTTCTTGGGCCACCTCGCCGACGCGCTGCCGCACGCGTTTGCGCGGCTGTCGCGCCTGGAGCTCTTTGACAGTGCGCCGGCGCTCAAGCACGTGGAGATCCTCGCCACTGCGCTCCCAGCGCTCACGCACCTGGCGCTGAACGACCTCGGGGCGCAGGACCTCGAAGTGTGTCTGCAGATCCTCGATCGATGTTCCGAACTGCGTGTCCTTGCGATCCTGGAGACGCCGGAGATGCTCGGACTTGATATGGATAGCGACGAGAATCTGCAGGACACGGAACGTGATTTGTTCGAGTCCACTCTCCGGCTGGTGCGGATATCTTTGGAGCGGTATACAGAGGATTGGACGTCTGGCGTGTTGACCGGCAGGGATTTCTGGCAACGCGCGGAAGAATTGGTGGCGAGACGAGGTATTTACGTCAGCGAAGGTGTGCAGCTCCATCGAGCATACGTTTGGCAATGACTGATCATGACATCCAATTGCAGCTCGTACATTTCGAGTTGCTTCACATTAGCTGGGGCTCCGCTTTCATTCATTTTGCGGATAGAGCTCGATCCTCGATTTGTGCAAAGTAGCGTCCGCAGCGTTTCATGTACCATCTCGAACTTAACTTCAGGTCATCGGTCATGGGAGCGCAGGAAGTGAAAGTGTCTATGGCAGGTCACTGGTCACCAGCGGCCCTGAAGTTAAGCCCAAACGAGGATAGTTCTACACCACGAGATTTTTATCGACTATAGTTTCATCAATACGAGCTGGGTCTAAAATCTAGTGCTCACTGTGATCCCATCCCGCACAGCTCAAGGAGAAACATTCAAATCCAGTCAGCCAGTCTGAAACTCCCACATTGATTGGTAGCTTCGCCCAAGGATAAACTCACGAACTCGAGGCAGAACCCACATCCAAATCGGGACTGCGGTGACATTGAATTATAGATCCCATCCTTCAGTTGCAATTGACGGATGGATCCCTGCAAGGCTTAACTCTTGTCAACGGGATGACCCGCGCGCCACAGAGGACGTGCGGGATCTCAATTGCATCACGGCCCGCATATCTGAATTCAGCGATGTCTGGATACGTACGGGGTCAACCAAATGACGACCGCGCACTGTGTTGTTACGTCGATGTATATATTTATATATGTACCACCAGCCTGGTAAGCCCTACCGCTGACAGAGAACTGACAGTCTAGGGCGAGACTCACCCTCACCACACGCAACTGATCGAGAACAGAGAGATCGTCGTCTTCGAAAGCACACTGTGCGCCCTTATCAGCGAGTCGATTCCGCTGTTGTCTGCCACGCCACCGAATCTGCTTCTTCTGCTTATCTCCCGCATGGTCGCGTGGTCGGTCGGGTCTTGTGAACGAAGCCCGGAGGTTGTTTTGAGTTGCCCAATGGAGACGCGGCTTCGACTGCTTCTTTCGTTGATGGACCGTACTGAGCACGGATTGATTAAGCTCGCTTCGGATGGGAGTTGCAGATGCTACGTTTGAAGTCATCCCTCGAGACACTTCTACGCGAAACAAATCGACGCGCGGGTATTCTACAGATTGATTGATATTCGGTACACGAGACGAAAGCGAGTGTGAGGGCTGCACGGTCGACAGGACACAGGACCAGTGCAGATGATACAAGACGAGTGATGCAGAATCGGTCGATACCAGTACGTACACGCGAGCCAGTAGTAGTAGTCGGTATGATCATCGTAACGAGCGAAAACAGATAAGACGAAAACAGAAACACATCAGACAGCAAACGCATGGTGACCAAACTCCATATCGTCGTAGTGCAGACCACCAGGATGGTGCGGCTGATGGGCACGGGGCTGGTTGTGGTACCCCGGATAGCCCATCGGATGACCCCGCGCAGGAGGGTACGGCGCAGCGTGCATCCGACTGCGCGGGATGGGCATCTCCAACACTGGGAGGTGCGAGGGCCCGGCAAACGCCGGTGTGCCGGGTTGCTCGCAGCCCAGCCCAGAGCGCCAGCATCGATTCCATTGTGTCCACCACGGCCGCCGCGAGGCATGGCGTCGAACAGGTCCAGATCCAGACCCAGATCATACGCGGCCCCGTGGTTCTCAGCGGTGCGTGGCCGCATCCCCATGCCGTGGTCGTACCCGAAGGAAGGCCCATTGTCGTATCCAGGGGCGCCCTTCATCTGGCTGTGGTGATACATCATCGGGTTGTTGTCGAAGTGGTTCATTGCGCTTGGATGGTGGGGCACCAAGTTCGGCGTCACCGGACTCGCGCTCTGCATGGGGCTACGTGCGTGTGCGTGCATGAGAGCAGGGCTTTCGCTGGCCGGGGGCGTGCGGGGGCCAGACGACACGGGTGACGCAATGTGCTGGCGGGTGGCAGCCAGGTCCATCTTCATTCCATCTCGCGAGCCGGGCGGGGCAGATCCTAGCTCGTCGTCGTCATTCTCGAGCCCATCCTCGTAGTCTTCCTCGTCGCCTTCGTCGATGGCGTACTCGGCATCAGCCGGATCTTCTTCCATCTCACCGCTCAGGACAATGCTGAAGTCCTGCGAGCGGGAAGGTGCCTCTAGGACAGGCAGACGCGCTCGGGCGCGCCAGGTGTTGACTTCCTGATAAGCGTCTGTCAGTCGAGATAGCCAGCAAAGAGATATAGCGAACGAACCATGCGCAGAGTCTCCGCCTCGCGTGCGAGAGCCTTGAGCGCTTGTGCTGCCCGCAAACGATGACGGCGGCCAGCGCGCACGGTTGCGATGCTGCGTATGAACAAGCAGTGAGCCTTTGCCACCGACATCAGGTAGCCCCCAACAAAACGCACCTGGACCCGACAATGGCAGACTTGCTGGGCCTGCGGATCGACGCGAGGGGAGGCAGGATCGAAGCGAGTGTCTAGAATAGTCGTATCAGTCGAAATGACCTCCCACTGTGAAGCAGAGATCGCCCACCAAGAATCGACCATTCAGCGTCTCCCTGCGAGCCCTCTCGACGGCGTTGTGGGTGGCACGGCGTTCGGCAGTCGTGGCACGCCGGTTGCGCTTGGGTGGGGGTTTCGTGGTGGGTGCAGGTGGGATCGCCTCCATGGGCGACGGCGACTGCTCCATCTTTGTATCGGGGTATTGTTGTTGTTGACAGTGTTGTTGGTGGCAGACATCGTGGGGCGGTGGGCCGGTGCTGCGGTATCAGGTGGGTTGGTCGGTCAAACGGGAGCGTGCGAGCGGAGTTTGCAGTCGGAGCTGATGCTGTGAGTAGCGTGCAGGGGGCAGGAGGTCGCGGTTCGGATTGTTGTTGTTGTTGTAAACGCGGTTGGAGCGGAGCGGGAGCGAGAGCAAGGATACGAAACGAAAGCGCGAGCAGGGCTCAGCGGCGTACTTCGTTTAGTTCTTCTTCTGCTTCTACTGTGCGATGACTGCGGTGCGCGCGCCGGGGGAAGAATGTACGGGGAAGGGTACGGTGGGGAAGCGGGACGGAGCAAAGGGAGCTATTGAGGGTCGCGAGATCTGTATGTGGTGTATCAGTACCCATAGGACGGGAAAAACGCCAGGGGAGAATCCACGCACTCCAAGCGGTAGCCTCGTTAGCGGTGGGGGGCGGTAGAAGGGGCGGCGACGGCGGGGGAAGGGGAACAACAACAACACTCCTCCTGCTGCTACTCGGTGGACTCGACGGGAACGTAAGATGGGGAAGAGGCGATGGCGCGGCTCCCTACTTGTATATGATGTGACTCCCGTGACAGGGACGCTGCCGGCGATCGCCGTGGTCCCGATCGAGGGGAGATTCCGGACCAATCGTGGTGGGGGTTAGTCGCTGGCATCGCCGCGGGAGCTTGCCCGTTCTTCGATGTCAGATTGACGCAAGGGCAGGCCCTTCCAGAAGTAAGCACATTGCTTGATTCGGATTGCTGATGAGCTGTTGTGTTTCTGTCGTTGGTTGGGATTTTCGCTCGAGTACGAGAAAGAAAGTGTTGCTTAGGAGATATCGATCACCTTATTTTTAGACAGGCCGGCCAAGGCCGCTTCGTTCCGGAGGGACAGTGACGAAAGGTTAGGGTTGGTGAGTGTCCTCGACTCCGACGCAGTTGATGAGGCAATTTTCCGAGCGCCTTCGCAACAGCAGGTACTCGAGCAAGTTCAACATTCCATCCTGCTCAGCAGACGCAATAAACTAGTCCCCGCCCGGAGCTTCTCCTTCCACTCAACGTAAATACGCTTGATGATAGGCTCTCCCCATGCGTCACCACCACACAGGCTCCTAATCGACATGCAGATTTAGGCAGCCTGGGACCGGTCAATAGCAGGATCACTGGAATGAGAATCACAAGCTTGGGCGTTGACGCGTCAACGTGATCCCCGTGGCAACAGTGCAAATCTATGGCACGGCTAGGACTGAGGTCTAAACCCGGCAAAAGCGCATCCCCAGTGGGTATGTTTGCTCGTCAATACTGAGACGCAGGATCTCCTTGTGAACCGTATGGCAAACCATCCCTTCACGTCCAGATCTCGCAAGTAAGGCCAGGCAAGATAAAACCTCCGATGACGCCAATTGTTTACAGACCGGTCTAGTGAATGTTCCGTAGAAGTTGTCTCCTAAGAAATGATCTATGAGGCTTACGATCCAGCTGTAAGCAGGGTCGAGGCGAGCGGGCCGAGTGCAGCCAAACACCCCTAACCACGATCAGATTCCGATTCTTTCCGAATCTCAGCAGCTCCCAGAAAACAGCGAGGGACTCGGAAAGCACTTATCGCAGATCGGTGGCGCAGACCTTCTTCTGCCGCCTCGTGCGCATACTGAAGCGGCTTACCCTCCGAAGCTGGGCGTTGATCTAGAAAGAAGCCATGCGGCAGAAGAAACACCGGCCAGTTTGGGGCAACTGGGCCCTGATGTTGGGCGGGCCAAGAACGCGTAGCACATTGGATACCAGTCCCTGCTAGTGTAAACAAATACAGTCACAGATCCCCTGACACTCTGCCCTGGTCCTCTTCCTCGACCATCCGGGCAGCAATTTCCTCTAACCTTGCGACATAACTCATTCCCAATTCCAATGCTGAATCTGAGTGCAGGCCGATCGGGCGCGGCTGTGCAATACGTCGACTGCGCGCCGCTTGAGTATCATTGCGGAGCAGCAGGAATTCAGGCGAGCTCGGCCAATCCCAAACAAAATGTGCCCGCTCCCAGTCCGGAACACTAAGCTCGGAGGACGTCGGGAACATGATCCCGGGGACATGGCGCGGCGAGTTGAAAACGCAAGCCGCGTCGGTCGACACCGAGGAGTCTCTGCCGATGCTGTGCCGGGCGCTGGCGTAGGGGCAGGTATACTCCGACCCCGGCAAATCACCGACGCTAAAGCGGCGATGCGGGTCGATGCAGGCGCTGATCGCATCTTCATCCTCATCCTCGCCCTGTGTTCCAAGCGTTTGGACGTTCATTGGCACATCGACCAGAGGATCCTTGGGGCATTCGAGGAGCGAGACCTCGGCGCTCAACGACGGCTCGCGCTGCCAGGTGAATGCACCCCAGGTGTGATTTGGCGTCCGGCGGACCGTGGTCGTGTGACTAGGAAGTATGCGCTGATGTAAGGAGTTAGGCTGGGACGATTGCGTTTGCCGAGGCAGCCTCAAAGTAGCTTGGGCGCACCTCGTGACTTGCAAAAGGTCTGGGATTCTGCCTCTTGTCGCGGCTGCGCCCCTTTGAGAAGCTGTGCATTTCAGTCAAAGAACCTGATCTGACTGGGCTAGGCTGCTTCTCCGTGTCCTGCGCATTCGACTCGATAGTCCGCAGCGACTGCCAAGGTCTTTCAGATACGTTGGAGACCGACGAAAATATCGAGATGACCAACCCTGCGCCGAAGCTTAATTCCAACAGTGGCCTTCGAAATCGATCGGATGTGTGTTCTGGGCATGGCTCAAGCAGAAGTCGAGCGGGTGCAAGGAGGTGGGATAGCGAGGCGACGAAAGGCTGTCCACAAGACCTTATAGTGACGTCCTCATGGATAGAGAACAAAGCGCATCGCTACTGCGTGGTAGATTCCAGTGAATGAGATAAAGTTGCTTTGTGCGACAAAGGGCGGCGCCGTGCGAGACAGAGACTGCATTCGTTACCTCGATGATGGCATCAGTTGATCACCTCACGTGCCTCGAATCGCTAAGTTCGCTGCTATCAGCGCATTCAATCAGCGCGAGTCTTTGAGCTGAGGGGAATGACGCTCCTGGACCCTGAGTTTCGTCGGAATATCGTCTCATTCTCTTAAATTCCTGGCGGGCAACGAGCAAAGCTTCAAAAGCCACAAAGAGCAAGTGCTGGTCCGGGCATCACAAGTTGCCGGTCACATGACAAGTCAATCACGAGCAACGGTTGAAGCAATCTCTCTCGGAGATGAGTACCCATTGCGCAAGCGACTCAGCCCCGGAAAGAAACTCGGGAACCAACAGAGAACACTGTCGGCCGTCATGCCGACGCTCTCGGGAAGGTCTCGGCTGTCTCTAAATAGACCCCCGGAGAATCCAACGCCCAGGTCGCAGAATAGCCTGTGCCCTGTCATTATTCTAGGCCGATGACCGCCAGGACCGGAAAAGGAAGGTGTTACGGTAACAGGAAATTGTTACGACAGCCTTGTGCTCTGCCCCAAGGCTGTGCCTGTCATGGCATCCTGAAAGTTGAACCTTCGAGTCGAGCGGCCGCCGGCACCCCATATGTGCCGTGTCACTCCGTTACCATTGAATCTTGGAAGCGGACACGGAAAGACATTCGCGCCTCTACCTCGATCAAGTTTTCGGCGGCCTGTGCCTCCTGTGCTCGGGGCCACAAGGACGCGCGTTCTGGCATCCTCAGATGGAGTGGAAGCCTAGGACAGATAGCTCAACACGCTCATGTCAGTTACTTATTAGTGCCGATCGTTGGGATTCCCGGTCGTAACCGGTTGCATGCAAAGTAGTTGAGCAAATTGCGTGTATTTGACGAGCACAGTAAGAGAGGGCTTGAGCTATCATCTAATCAAATCGTGCTACGACTAGCGGTCTCGCCAGGGTCACACTGATCAGATCCGCCAGATGCTTGGACCCCATGACTCCGAAATGCCCCACTCCGTTCAAGAAGTGCACGTCGACGTTCTTCGCGCACCGACCAACCCCAAGATTCGCACGGAACTCGGTGTCTGACTCAGCGAGCGTCGAGCGGATGCCATATTCGGCCACCATCAAAGTATACTGGGCTGCTGTGCCGGCAACCCACCGCTCGAAAGCGGCCAGGAATCGAGACCAGGAGCGCACGCCGTCGTCGCCGAGCGCGAGACTACTGAGAAACTCGAGGACGGGTTTGTTGAGTTGGGACGTCAACGAAAGCATCTGCATCACATCTGCTGGACCCTTGCCCTCCGCGACCGTCGCCCGCCAGACGTCTCCCCGATCAGTCGAAGCGTACAGCGGGTCGTTGTCGAACATCGAGATAATCGTCTTGACGGTGTGATCGTAGAAAAGCTGCTCGCCAGCCGCCGGATCCTCGACCAGTAGCGCGAACTTGTCCACGGTGAACATCGCAGGGAAGTGGTCGAGGAAGATGAGATGCTCCACGACATTCCCGCCCCCCTCGAGCACCCGCACCAGTTCGATCGCGAGCAGACACGACTGCGAGTACGCGGCGATCCGGTACGGCCCGTGGGGCTGCTTTTCGCGCATTGCCGCCGCGAGGAAGTGCGCGAGCCCGGTGAACGAATCGATCGGCGTGGCCGACGTGATCTGCGCGCCGTAAAGCGGACCGGATGATGCGTGATGGTGGGTGCGCAGGGCGAGCAGCGAGCCGAGGACGCCGGCCGCGCCGAACAAGACGAACAGCGGTGTTCCTTCGCCTGGTAGGAGATCGACGAAGGTCTGCTCCATGTCGAGTGCAGGGCCCGAGGCTGTTAATTGGGCCCAGGAGATGTTCGATAGCAGCTGCAGCTCGGTTACAGTCATGTAAGGTTTCAGGACTGTAGCTAGCTGTGCGACGCGGTCAAACCCGACGTTATACGAAATCAGTGGGCGCGAAGAATCGAAATCTTTCTTATCAACACCGAGGAACTCGAGCAGGACGTCTTCCGGGGTGGTTTTTGAGGAAGACAATTTGCCGCGCACGGAAGTCCACGAGATGCCTCCGAGTAACTGCAGTTGCGATACTGAGCCAAATGGCTGCAGCAGCGCTGATATTCGGGTGGCTGTGAGGGAATCCAAGCCGTATGATATCAGAGGTCGATCCTCATCGAAATCCGGTCTATCCACCTCCAGGATTGTCAACACACGGGCGAGAAGGTCGTCGTCGGATGAAGTCTCCGAAACGATCACGGTGGGCTTGGTTCGAACGAGATCCTTAAAGACCGAGGGCAACGGGTATCCGACGCTCATCGCGTGCCAGTCGAGATTAGGGATGTATTGATTGAACACATGTCCCGCTTGAAGTTTTCCTAGCCCGTCTTGGAGGTAGGCCCACAGTTCTGAAATACATGAGGATAGGTACATTCAAGACGTGATCTCTACTCGCCTTTCGTGGTTATTGATGAGGCGAAGATTCCCGATTTTGACCTGGATGCCTGAGTAACAATCGTGCGGTCCTGAAGCTCCTTAAGCACAGATGAAGTGTTGGTAATTTCCTTCTCACAAGATACCCCGCGTTCAAGATGCCCGGCACGATGAGCGAGAATGCATTGCGGTACGGCGCCAATCTGGCGTTCAGCTCTGTGCAAGCGCTGCCGTAGTTTGTCTGTCCCGGTAACCCGACTAGGCCCGAGAGCGATGAAAACGCCACATAAAAGTCGAGGGCATGTACGTCCACCACGTGACTGAAAGCATCGAACACCCCGACTTTGGAGTCACGTACTGTTTTGAATCCGGCAGCCGTTTGTGACTGGAAGGTTGCGTCGGACAGCACGAGCGTGAGCTGGATACATCCTCCGATC